CCATTTTTAGGCGGCGAAGCGCGTGGCTCGGAAATGCGCACATACGTCTACCGCGTAACACAAATAGGTCGACTGATATGCATCGATAGACATGGGTACACCCATTTCACTTAACGAACTGCTTCTGTTACATGCAGCAACGATGTTTAACACGGTACACGGCAATCGAGATGTCACGAAGTCATAGAATGAGACTATCTATTAGCACATTTAGTTCGCCAGTCCCCCCCCCCCCCCCCCNCCTCCCCATGTTTCACTCGAGAGACAGGGTTAGAGATTAAAAAATAAAGTCTAGCTTCGATCGATACACCTGTTTGGGTAAATTTCTTGGTCATCAACAGAATAATAGTTTTGGAACATTGGAGCTGTGCACCTCCATGTATCGATTCATCGGGCAAAAGTTCGCTACAAAAGGACTTACTGCATCCCGTCTATATAGCTGAGTTCGTGTTTCCTTCGCACCATACAAAAACACATCCTGAAGCAGAGCACAAATCTTAGGCGAAAATGCCCTCACTCTCCAACCACTGCAGTCACATTTATGTGGGGAAAAGGAACGCATAGCTGATGTGTTGGGGTCAAACAGTCGAGGTCAAAGGGGTGGAGCAATTTGCTTGTTCGAACCAATACAGTTTAAATGGCAATTGATTTGAGGGATCTCAAAGCTCCTGCATAAAACTTTTGTCCAAGTGAGCAATTATGCACCCTTCTCGGTCGGTTTCCCATCACCTATCTCACCTGGTGCATAGATGAACTGATATTTATTGATTTGAACTAACTATCCTTCGGAATTCCCCTTCACGCACAATCCTCAGTTCATCGATGCAACCATAAACTGGGAATCACAACAGACTCGATTTTCTCTCTCATTGGAGTTCATCAGTAGTGCATATCCACCGTCCCGTCCGGGCTTGGAACTCCCGACCCGTCGCATAGAAGGTGTGTACGTTACCACCGTGCCAACTAGCTCATAACATGGCTGAACCGAAATACCGATTCAGTTTTGTTAGCTTTTTGTCGTCAGTAATGATCAGTCAGTTTATTTGATCTGACAGCAACGAAGAGATACACAGATGACAATCTGTTAACTCTCATCGAAAGCCTCCCACCAAGTTAGGACTTCCATGCAGGTTACGAGCTGATTTGCCAACGAATCTACAAGACTGAACTGTCTATCACTGAAGATGACACCTGAACAAACATGAATTTACAATTTGGTTCAGCCATGGTACGATCTGGTTGACACGGTGGTAACGCACACGCCTTCTATGCGATGGATCCGGAGTTCCAAGCCCGGACGGGACGGTGGATATGCACTACTGATGAACTCCAATGAGAGAGAAAATCGAGTCTGTTGTGATTCCCAGTTTATGGTTGCATCGATGAACTGAGGATTGTGCGTGAAGGGGAATTCCGAAGGATAGTTAGTTCAAATCAATAAATATCAATTATCCCACACCCCTACTCACAAGTAACTGGGAGTTAAATGTGGAGCATGTTCAGGAATGAACGGGAACGCAGCATTTCACCTCGCTACACACAAGACGCACTCCGGCGAATGGGGCTTTCATGTGCCAGGTCGAATCCCACATCATCAGTTCACAAACATGTCTGATCAATCTCCTACACCCTGTCTATGTAGCTGGACAGTAATGATGAGGTATGAGCCTCCGAAAGTCCCAAGCTGGTCGGGGTGGATATCTGGAATTGTGACTGGTCACCATTCCCTTACACTTCGCTAATTGCTCTTATATGACCAAGCGTCTCAAATAGCCTCTGCTGAGGGAGCTCTACTCATTGCCTTCTCGTGGCGGAGGTGCTTTCCCCACCAAAGTAAGAGGACAAAAAGAGGACATCTGGGGCTATGACCGGGTTGCTGAACCATTGGCAGTTCATCTAAGGAAGTTGGCTAAAAATCTTGATCCCAAGCCAACCAAAAAGAGATGCATGAACCACGCGCACACCTTCCGGTTGCGGCAGTGTTCACCGGCTCAAATGGACATCAAGGTGTATTGGGCACTCTGGACATTTGACCCAGTCCGAAAGGTGTATGATCCAATGAACTGGACGCCGGGCCCCAGTGGACTGCGGACTCTGAGCTCTGTCCTATTGTCTTGCAGGTCTGGCTTTCTAGCTAAAGGCTTCGCGTGGGGGTGGGGACCCCGAGGTTATTCCTCTTTCTCGGTTAGAGCAACCGGGAAGTAACATGCCCACACAAAATATGAACACATTCTTCAGATTGCATTTTGTTTATATGTTGTGGCACATTTTGCCAGTTCTCTGTAATTGGTTACGTGTTGAAACAAATGAATAATGATTGTTTTGCAATTAATTAATTAATTAATTATGCAACTGCTTCATTTGATTCATTTTGATGCCTGAGGGTTCTTGTCGATCGGGAGAGATCGTGGTAGCGAACCGAACCACAGTCCCGTGTATCTTCAATACTTCAAAATGTTGGTTAAAAAGCGAGGGATGTGTGGGTTTGTGACCTCAAATTAGAATTGTAACACTTACCAGCAAGTTTTCGAGTCCGAATTAAGCATTTACTCGTTACAGAATTGCTTTTTTGTCTGAACGATAACCAAAAAAAGCATTTTTTTATTCAATATCCCACAATTTTCCGGTTTATCTCGGAAACATACATACAGCTCAATTGGTATTCATTATACCCAACGAAATCGGCAGTTTAAAGTGAATAACTGAATTATTTGTGTCATGATTTCTTACAATTTTCCATTTTCATCATTTCACACCACATGCTGATTGCAGAGAGCGGGCGAGTGCGCGCGCGCGCGCAAAGCAAACACTCCGCCGAATAGGGGAGTGAGTTATTCCTCATGAAAAACATGCGGCATATTGTCTTGCACGTGACGTGGTGAAGAAGGATTGCCTTTGGTTAGTTCCGGATTCGTCCCGGAGAACACATAAACGCTAGGAAAATTTAACCGAGTGCACTTTGAATAACAGTACCAGACTGATTATGATGATTCAGGATCGTATCGCACTTCCACGAACACCTCCTCCACCCCACCCCCCACCCCCGAATCCCCAACTTATTCAGAATGTCTCGACCGGTTTGCGATGCCTGTGTCATAGTGGATTTACAACATACTATCATAGCCTGATAGCCTTAGTACAAAGCGAGTTCATGTTCACTTGAAACCGTTTTGGGGAGGGATCATCGATTGCACTGTAGACTGTCGATCTTGAGTAGTCACATTATGATGTCTCGAAAAATTTGGAGCGAGTGAAAACAGACAAAAATACCAGCACAGTAATTTCTACATTCATTGTACAACTCAGGTGGTTGAGAAAATCCGGATCCCGATGATCAATGTTTTCAGAAAATTAATTGGAGGCTCCACAGTTTGATAAACACGATGAAATTCAGTTCGTGTTTCATTTCATGCACCTGTATTGTATTATATCGTATTGTAATGATTTGTGCAGTCAATTGTGCCTACATTTCGGTCAAAAAGATGTTCACCGTTACAATGGGATAAAAAAATGGAATGAAAATTCGTATGCAACAATGATAAAACTAAATAGGTGTTCATCTTTGTAGATTTAAGATTAGTTCGTTGTGGATCCCCGCCGTGTCAGTGAGAATACGAGCCAGATAGGGAAGCGTTGAGTTGCTATAAATGTTTTTGCGGCAGGTTAAGCAGCGAAAATTGGTTCGGGTTGTAACGTGGGAACGGCAAGCAGATGAATTGGGATTAACCGGATGACTGGGATTATTGAGTATCTTATGAGCGAAATTCTCACATGAAGTGATATGCAAATTACACAATTTTGTGATCAGAGTATTGAAAGGAATAAGAGAACCACGGCTGATAATTACTAAACCGCGACTTAGAGTACTGAAATCCTTTCTAAGTAGTCTAGGGACAATACCGGGCGAACAGGAAAAATACATTGATAAACTAAGGAACATACAGTTTCATGCTTCACTCCAAACTGTCCTACCTTGCGTATCTGGAAGAATAAGCGATGCAGTCAACCAACACAGACTAGCACACGAGAGGACCACCGTAGATTGCTATCTATAGTGACTTCTAGGTGGTATGTATTCTGGTGATGGGTATACGGAATTGATGACTGAGGATTCCAAGGGATATTCTGATCGAGAATGACTAAAAATACATTCGAGGCGTTTAGAAGCATTCAACTGAAGACTAGATTGGTTTGAGAATGACTGCAATTGTAATAAACTGTCGGAAAAAGGATTCTGTCAGATTGTTTTGAAATGGCTTGACCACATCATCAGCACTTTTAAAGGTTTTGGCTGGTAGGATTGAGGGTAAATCAATGATGAGAGTTGAAAATAAGTGGGGAGAAGACACAGAATCCTGAATCAATTCTCAAATAGCTGACACA